ATTTTCTGTATTTTTGTAGAGATGGGGCTTCCCCCTGTTGCCCAAGCTGGTCTCAACCTCCTGGGCTCAATCGATCTACCCGTCTCTGCCTCCCAAAGTGCTGGGATTACAGGTGTGACCCACTGCACCTAGCCTAATCTCATTACTTGGGAGACCAGAGTAGGAGTCACCCTTGAGGCCAGAAGTTCAAGACAAGCCTGGGCAACATAGCAAGATCCAATCTCTATAAAAAATAGAAAACAACCAGCTGGGAGTGAGGATGCATGCACCCGTAATACCAGCCACTCAGGGGGCTGAGGTGGGAGGATCCCTTGATCCTCGAAGAGTTTGAAGCTGCATTGAGCTATGATCATGCCACTGCATACCAGCCTGGGCAATAGAGTGAAACCTTGTTTGTTAAAAAAAAACAACAAAAAAACTATATCATCATTTATACATCAGCAGAGTCATATTCTATATATTCAACCTTACTAGACAAATGGTATGTTTCTGTATTTCTCTCACTGATGAAAATAAGAGCTTTTTCATTAAAGGAGGGTGTGGTTGGATGAAGGGATAAAAATCAGTGTTTATTCTTCTGTGAACCCAGAGCTGCAAAGCCTAGTTCTACCCCCACTCATTCTATATTTAAAGCCTTTAGAAATATTATATATAGGCCGGGTGCGGTGGCTCACGCCTGTAATCCTAACACTTTGGAAGCCCGAGGCAGGCAGTCGTAAGTTCAGGAGATCGAGACCATCTTGGCCAACATAGTGAAACCCAGTCTCTATTAAAAATACAAAAGTTAGCTGGGCCTGGTAGTGCATGCCTGTAGTCCCAGCTACTCAGGAGGCTGAGGCAGTAGAATTGCTTGAACCCGGGAGGCGGAGGTTGCAGTGAGCCGAGATCGCACCACTGCACTCCAGCTGGCAACAGAGTGAGACTCTCTCAAAAAAAAATTGTATTTGAAATGTTGAAAAAAACTAACTCTAATTTTTTTGTGTGCATAGGTGGTCGTGTGATGGTAACAGATGCTGACAGGTCAATACTATCTCCAGGTGGAAGGTAAAACCTATTTTATTACTGCTGTTTAACTCCCATGTCTCAAAAAGTTTTAGTTGTTAGATAATTGAGCTATTAGAATATTAAAAAGGCCTTAGGTCACACATCTCAGTTTAGTAGGCAAGGATATCATTTGAGGGTCTTGTGAACATGCCCTCTTTGACTTGTTATTTCTGAATAGCAGAATTCCCCTGCATGAAGCCAGGGGGATTAGTCCCACTGAATTGGAAAGCCTTAGAGTGGTATTTGGAAGTTAATATGCTACTCTGTTGTATTTTATTGTACTGTTTTCTCCAAAAGATAGAAACTAAAGTCCTAAGTTTAGTTGATAACTCTTAATATGCTACTCGATAGTATTTTATTGTACTTTTTCCCCAAAAGATAGATAGAAATTAAAGTACTAAGGCCGGGTATAGTGCCTCACGCCTGTAATCCCAGCACTTTGGGAGGCCAAGGGAGGTGGATCACCTTAGACCAGGAGTTCGAGACCAGCCTAACCAACATGGTGAAAGCCCGTCTCTACTAAAAATACAAAAATCAGGTGGGTGTGGTGGCACACACCTGTAATCTCAGCTACTCAGGAGGCTGAGGCAGGAGAATCACTTGAACCCAGGAGGCGGAGGTTGCAGTGAGCCTAGATCACGCCACTGCACTCCAGCCTGGGTGACAGAGCGAGACTCCATCTTAAAAAAAAAAAAAATACATTATAGTACTAAGTTCGGTTGATAACTCTTATTTATGTGAGAAATAAATAGGTCAGTTTTTTTTTTTTTTTTTTTTTTT